GTCCCCACTCAGACTCCACTCGCTCCCTCTTCGGGCGGCAGGGCCTTCGCCCCGGGGCTGCCTCCCACCTGCCAGCGGCAGGCGCCGCCTTTGTTGGCCAGGTGGGCTTAGCCGGGGGGTTGCGGCCCCGGCCCCTCGAGAGTGGCGGGGATGCTGGCGAGCCCCGGGAGAACGCTCCCACGCCGGGCCGCGGGGGTGCCGGCTGCTCCCGCTGCCGCCCGGGAGCCGATGCCACCGCGCTGGCATCGGGCCCTGGCCAGGAATTTTTAAATATAGCTGTTTGCCTGAGTCTGATAAACTAGGGGGAAACCCCCTTTCTGGTGTTGGTGTTGCCCCCTTGTGTGAAGGTTTCAGCGCAAAGGGAAGGAGCTCGCGAGTACGTTGTAAACTCTTGGGGAAAAGTGTACTTTCTCGGTGTGAGGATGTCCGTAGTAGGTTCTGCTTCGGAGGTGACCCCGTAAACATCTTTGTGCTGAGAGGTGGCCGAGGGGCCCGGCCTGCCGGGCGACGGCGAGAGTTGAGGCTGCGCGAAGAGGCAGGGTGACTGGGGTCCAGGTCTCCGCAGCGTGGTCCCCACCGTGCCGCCTTGGAGGAACCCTTCTGTCGCGGAGGGCTTTATTTTGACTTGCCTTCTCGCAATAGCTTGAACTGTTGCACTGGCATGGGTTCCTGGTGTAGTTTATTTCTTATCCCTCTGGGCTGTTTTAAAAATTACAACCAGTTTCTGCGTACTTTAGCTAATTTCAGAGAGACCTGAAGACTGGATCTGATTAAACAGGCATGAACTTAGAACTTTCTAATAAACATCTCAAGTTAGAGTGTGTGTACTTCTACAGAATGTTCAAATATTTCCACGGGTAAAATAAATTAATAAATCTCTCTGATGGAAGGGCTTAAAACCTTTGTATTCACCCTGCTTAAAGCTTTATGACTCTGAGGGAGGAAAAAAAAGAAGTTAACCTTTAAGTAAAAATAGTTAATGTTTATCTACACAGGATTTTAGATTAGGGAGATTTTAGTCTTTCACACGGTGGTCCCTGATGTGATGTCGCATGAAAACGGATAGATGAGAGGGCTGAGAGGAAAGAAAAAGATTTTGTCTGGAATGTGGAACTTCACTGGTGGGTCTGTTATCAGAAACCATCGTTCCCACTCTCACCTCACTTCTCTGTGAGGTACTGGTGAATTCACCATAAAGGATTTGTCGGTTTTAAAGAGTATGTTAACACTTGGGCAGAGAAAGAAAAGGTAACAATATTGGAATTTGCTGTTGTGGGTTAAATTTGATTGTTAGGCACAACATTCATTGTTCAACTGAAAAGTCTGGCTAAACAAAGTAGGAATTAAACATTTCTGAAAAGTGATTTTATGTTAACTCCTCTTCTTTGGAACTATGTTTTTGCCCACACTTCCTAGATTATCTTTTAATTGGCCTTTCTTTTTGTCAGGCTGGCAGAATTTTATCTGTATACGTATAATTTGATTTTGTTTATTTGCTGTCAGCAAAGGACTGGCTAAGCCTTAATTTAGATGAGAATGGCCTAAATCAGGATGTCTTTGGGAAGGCCCTTATTCAGATTAGCCATAGGGATTCTGGCCAAATCCCTGATCAAGTTGCTTGGCACAGAATTATTGATTGGCAAATCTGTAGTGTTGCTTGGTGTTGACTGAATTAATCTCCTACACCTGTTTAAAAAGACCCCCCCCATCTCTACATTCAGGGTCACTTCCTCTCTTAAATCTGAGACAAGTTCTTGTGTACATGCTCTCATTTGGGAATCCTGCGTACTTAAAACCCTGCGCACTATACAGGGAATGTTTAGGCTTCTGAGAACCAGAACTTGAGTTCATTCTGCCACATTTGAAAGTTAGAGGGCCATTTGATTGTCAGTTTTCAGAAACCTCAAACCCAAATGAAGTATGACAACTGAGGTGGAGGAAAGAATGCTTTGTGTTAGTATTTCTGAGAAGTGGAATGGGGGACGTCTAATTGTACTTGGAGAGATACCTTGGTAATGCTTCTGATAGGAATATCAGTCATTATTTTATTATAACTATGTTTAAAAATCTTTTGATAAATACAATAAACTGAGTTGTATCAACCAGGTCTTCCTTTTGTAGAGGGAATTTGTTGTGCTACCATCTATAGTGGGATATCATAACCACAAACCACATGTAGTTACTGAACTTGCAGAGTAACTAGTGTGACTTAGGAATGAATTTTTCATTTTATTTAATTTTAATTAATTTAGGTTTGCATTTAAAAATTGATTCAGTGATTGGAAAACTTAACTTTGGGAAAAAACTTGGTTATGTGAATGTCCTTTTTTAACTGTATATTTAATGAACTGTAAATGTAGGTCAAGTATTTCCTATTAAAATTTAGCTTCTGAGCCGGGCTTGGTGGCTCAGCCTGTAATCCTGTGTCTTTGGGAAGCTGAGGTGAGTGGATTGCCTGAGCCCGTGGGTTCGAGACCCACCTGGGCAACTTGGTGAGACCTCATCTCTACAATAAATGAAAAATTAGCCTGACGTGGTAGTGCACGCCTGTAGTTCCAGCTACTTGGAAGGCTGAGGTGGAAGGATCGCCAGAGCCCAGCGGGTCGAGGCTGTGGTGGCCAGGAGCGGCCACTGCACTCCAGTCTGGGTGACAGAGTGAGACTCCAACTCAAAAAAAAAAAAAAATGAAATAAAATTTAGCTTCGGAATTGAGATGTACCATAATTAAAATACACACCAGATTTCAAAGACTTGGAAAGGAAAAAAATTGAAAACTCTGTAATTTTTATACTGATTACATTGAAATGACAATACTTTAGACATTGGGCTAAATAAAGTATTAAAATTAACTTAGCCGGGCTCGGTGGCTCAGCCTGTAATCCCGTGCCTTTGGGAGGCTGAGGTCAGTGGATTGCCTGAGCCTGCGGGTTCGAGACCCGCCTGGGCAGCGAGACCTCATCTCTACAATAAATCAAAAAATCAGCCAGGCGTGGTAGCACGCACCTGTAATTCCGGCTACTTGGAAGGCTGAGGCAGAAGGATCGCCGGAGCCCAGCAGGTCGAGGCTGCGGTGGCCGGGAGCGGCCACTACATTCCAGTCTGGGCGACAGAGTGAGACCGACTCAACAAAAAATAAAAATAAAAATAAAATAAAATTAACTTTACCTGTTTCTCTTAACTCTAGTACGGCTACTAGAAAGTTTAATGCAGCCGGACTTGGTGGCTCAGCCTGTAATCC